GGATTTGCACATTCGGGCATTTTACAGATGACTCAATAGCATCACCCCAGACCGAGATGAAGAGTCAACACAGAAAGGTTACATCTTATTCCCAGGTGACTGGTATCTCAGACATTCAGCTTCCCTGCCTGCAGCATTCTCTCTGCTGAAGGGACCCCTTTCAACACATGGCCCATAGAACCATAATGCAGAATCTCCCAGGCTGTCATATTTTAGTCACATAAAACACTCACCCGAAACCCCCAGAAACTTCTTTTCAACTTCCGTCACCAATTGTTTCTTTATACCCTCCTGCAACAACACAGGGAACAGCCTTACTTGTTGGAAGGGAAATTCTAACCCTCGGGTCTTTCTCAACTCTTACGGCACTGGGAGTCCAGCATACAATGATGAGTTCCTCTTTACCTCACCTCTTTAAAAAGTCTGCTGAGTTATGCCCAGATTCTTCATAGCGTAGAAAGAAAGGCATATTGCTCACCAACTTGGGCTTCACTTCTGGAATTTCTCTAGGATGTGCCCCTCACCTTGGTCGTCGCAGCCCCTTTCTTCTCCCTCTCTTCACCTTGTGCTTAATTCAGAGCCTCTCGCCCTCACTCAGCTGGGGCTGATGGGGGCGGTGGGGGAGATCATCCGTTCATGGTTTGCGCCACTGTAAATTTGTCCTGCCTGCTCCCCTCAAATCCGGCCTTCTCTGCAATGCCATTGGTGGTTGACCACATTCTCCCACTTTCCTTCTCCACCATGTCTGTAATGGCAGGCTTGTCACTTCTGTAATAATATTCTTCATAGATTCAAAGAATGTGTTCTGCCTCCAGACCGTAACTCCCTGAGAACAAGAACAATAACGCGCATTGTTTGTCTTCTCAGAACCCAGCACCAAAACCACACCCCTCGGAAATGAGGCACATTTCCCCCTCTCCTCACCTTGCACAACCTCCTACCCCATACCCACCATTCCCCAACTCTTCTGGACACAAGCTTGTCACATTCTCCACTTGGAGTTCGGTCTTAGTGGGTGCCTACATCTCCATAAAGAAACCAAGGCCTCAGAGAGTGAACATTTGGAGAGGAACACCATTACACAGACCATTTTGGCATGAAGTGGGTTCACTCTAAAGCCTAAAATTCAGAGCCTAAAAGTCAGGGCTCCTCATATGCCCATTCCCCCTTCCCGCAAGCTCAAGTGGTTATATGCTTGTAAAATTTTCAAAATTTTCAAAAGGAAGATCTTTTAACTACAATGATCTCCTTCCAATGAGACTCCCCACTACCTTTTATTATGTTGAGGGTCATTGGAGTGACCGCAGACGTGTGGGGTCTGACTTGAAGGAAATTGAGTGGGGTTGTGTATACATAAGATATTTTTATACAATTTGAGGTCACTTCTGTATATAGTTAGGCAATTGCTAGCCATACACATGTAATAATGGCTCCCAGGAATACCTTTATCATCGACAGTGGCAACTCAGCCAGACATTGATTGAGACATGTAGGTGTCAGGTCAGAAATGGTTTCACAATGTAAATACGTCCTACTGGAAATATATAGATAGTGGAGAGAAAACAAGGTTTATAGGGCAGAAGCTATTCTGCGGAGAATTCTTCCCGTCATCAGACATGTGAACTTATAAAGACAAGACTGGTTTCTCACTGATGCCTGGTCAACACAGAAGTTCTCTCCTGGAGGAAATTTGTTGGATAACATTGAAAAATTATAATTGCACCGTGCCTTTTTTTTCTTTTTAAATGAGAATCAAACAAGAAGAGAATATAGCCAAATTCTCATGTTCGTAGACTTGTAGCGGTATAACAAGTAATGAGCATGCCTACAACAACTCCTATATGAAAGAACTTTTAGAGTGGTTTCCCACTGAATTTGATAACTTGGAAAATGTATAAAATATTATCAATAAAACTTAGTGAAGCTGAAAAAATCTACCAACAGTATTAGGTCAAGACTGAATTATGTTTCTTTTCTATCCAGGGAAAATGTTATAAAACTACCATCATATGAAGCCAGAAATGTAGATAAAAAGTATTATGGAGGTGTATTAGGCAGTAGATTAGTTAAAATATCTTTTTTTCTGGAAGTTGTCATGTTTGTGATGTTTGTTACCTCTTTTAAATTTGGTATTTGTGAATGATTTCTTCTTCTAAATAAATGAGTATCCACTTTCACTTGTAATTTAGGATTTTTGATTTTGTTACTCTTTTTTGTAAAAAGGTCTTCAGACCTTGTATGTACATCAGGCCCTTAGAAACCTAGATCATCCTCTCCCACCAAGATCTGGAAAGATCCGTGTGCCAAGCGTAAGCAAGCGATTGGTTTATGTCTGACTTTGTTCTAGTCTCGGCCCAGCTGGCAAGTGTGAAGGGTTTCTTCCAAATGTAGGCAGAGTTTTACATGACAATCCAGAATGAATAAAAAGAAAGCCCATCTTCAGAGAACAAAAGACAGTATCAGTGGGCAGAGAAGTAGTTATTATAGATGCCTTGCTTTGGTTTCTGCTTTGTCCTCTGCCACTGTGAAAGAAGAGCCTTGTGATGCCCGAGTCAAGGTCACCCACCTTTCTTCAAGGTGAATGGAAAACCGTCTGATCAATTCAGCAACTGCAGTTCTAGCTGCATGTTAGTCAATGCCCCTGAGGACTCATAGACATTGAACCAGTCTTCCAAGGGCAAAGTTCCGATTATTGCATGAGTATTTGCAAACTGCTCTAAGCCGTGCACTCCTTCCAAGCACCATCTACTATTTATGTCTCCATTTGTGCTGCCCCTACAGGAGCTCATGCCCAGAGCTAAATCCTCCCTATTTAGCCATCTTATTAACCCGAAGGAGGAGAACCTCTAAGTGAGAATGTGGATGGTGGTTCATGCCCTTTCTTCCCCCAAATGCCCATCAAGTTGTTCTTAACAAGCAGATAATGTATCCTAGGGATATGCTGCAAGGATATTGTGAGTTCAGAAATCCGGAAAACCTTCCATTGATGGGAAGTAAAACGTAGTGATCTTTACAAAAATTTAGCAATGTATAACTATTGTAGTTCTTTTTTTATTTTTAATTTATTTTATATATATATATATATATAGAGAGAGAGAGAGAGAGAGA